GAGCACACATACTAGTGTATGAATACATCTTTGGTTGTTGTATGTTCTTGTCGATGGATGGAAAGTTGATTCCACACCCTTCTTCTATTGCTATGTGCTTCCAGGTATTCGGTTTACATCTTACCATGGGAACTTCATGCTAAGGTCCACTGATTTGTTAGCGCTTCCAGCTGTTGATTGTGACAAAGCATATGGGGCGCAGTTGTCACTTGAAGAGACATTACTTACAAGTCAGACGGTATATTTCCAAGTTGCTTTGCTGTATCCTTTTGAGCAGAATTATGTGAAGCTAATTTTGCATCAGAGTTTCATACATCTGCACATGTTTACTATAAACTCCCATAAGAAATCGAGTCATCATGCACATAGATTGTTTCCTATATCACCCGAAAGTCAATTCTTTCTGAGCTGTTTGCTGATCATCCCAGTTGGTCAAAATTATGAGAAAAGAGACTTCTATACAAGTGTCATAACCATCTACTGTTAATGGGATTGCATTTATCTTTGCAATAGTTTTTGACATTAAAACCATGGGGCTCATTTTTTAAAGGTATATGTAGTATTAATCTCATTATTTCTCAGTGAGATTAAGTTTCTTTGTCATTGTGAGACAATTTATTGAAATTTTTTAGTTTTAGCTGTAGGATCCTATGCTGGACTCATGGTATGTTCAATCCTTCTTTTCACTTTAGCATTTTGCAAGGATTAGCCATCTCTATTCATGTTGGGTTATATTAGTCTTCTAGGTCAAATATGGTACAGTAGAATATTGAGTATGAAAGAACAGGTTTGCGGAAGTTCTCTTAACTGTCAAAAGATACACTGCTTCATGTGGAGAGAGGCGTATCAGAGTACACACAGCAGCAGTGCCTGTGGTTACAGATTTGGGGGAGATGTACCGCCAGGCTGATACTGGTGCTATTGTGTCTTTGTTTGCCAGGCTAGGTGGGTTTGATCTGGACATATTTCATTGATGACTCTGATTTTAGAAATTGGGATAAGGTGACCATTATGATTCTTCTAACGAAGTTAATTAATTTGCAGCAATCGAGAAATCATTGTCCCACAAGCTGGAAGATGCACGGAGCTCTGTACAGTTGAGGGTTGTGAAAGCTCTTAGAGAATTTCGAAATCTATATGCTGTTCAACATCGCTTGGGAGGCAGAATGATATATCCAGAATCTCTGAAGTTATTGCCTTTGTATGGATTAGCACTTAGTAAATCAGCGGCTCTCCGGGGAGGTTACGCTGATGTTCAACTTGATGATCGCTGTGCAGCAGGATTCACTATGATGGCGTTACCTGTAAAAAAAATGTTGAAGCTTTTATACCCTAGCTTGATACGAGTAGATGAATATCTTTTGAAGGTAAAAGTATTTCCTGTGTCCTGCAGTACTGTTGATATTTTTGCATAACACTAATGGTGGATCTCCCATTGCATTAATGCAGCCATCTGCACAAACTGATGAATTCAAAAACATCATGAAAAGGTTACCATTGACAGCCGAGAGCTTAGACTCCAGAGGCCTATATGTCTATGATGATGGTTTTCGCTTTGTTGTATGGTTTGGTAGAATGCTTTCACCTGATTTAGCAATGGATTTACTTGGACAAGATGCTGCTGCTGAGTTCTCCAAGGTGTGCACTGTCTCTATCCTATTCTAGGTTACATCAAGGCCCTTTTCACAATCATTCTGAGCTTGCATCATTTACCATTTTGTGTAAAAAGGATGCTGTTGCTCTTCAACATTGGTTTGAGGGTCTAACATGACCTTGTTTTACTTGAGTTCCATTGAGTGTATGCATATCCAAAAAAGTCCATCAAAAGTCAAGAGTGGGCAATAAACTACCTAGTAGTTTGTAGATTAATTCATTTAATGTTCTTTAGCTAACCTTTTATTTGCTTAGCTTCTTCATCACGGGACTGTAACTTACCTCCTTTTATGCTGTGTGCTAATCAGGTTTCTTTTGGTAAGCATGATTCTGAAATGTCAAGAAAGTTAATGGGGGTGCTTAGGAAATTAAGAGAGAGTGATCCTTCATATTATCAGCTTTGCAATCTTGTGAGACAAGGTGAACAGCCCAGAGAAGGTTTCTTTCTTCTCACAAATTTGGTGGAGGACCAGATTGGGGGTACCAGTGGTTATAGTGAGTGGATGGTGCAAATACATCGGCAGGTCCAACAAAATGCATGAATTGCAGCCAGTGGTGTTTTCCGTTTTCTGCTAATTTCATTGTAAGGTTACTTCTTTGAAATTATTTTGACATGATTTGCCCACCAGTGCGCACACAACAGTTCTTATTTAGGACATGCATGAAAATAGTGGCTGCATGTGTGCTTGTTCAATATGGAAAAAGATAAGGCGTAAATTATGCAGTTGTTTTGGTGCGTAATGTCATCCACTTTCTTCTAAGGGGAATTACTGCTTTACATTTTCCACTCTTCTTCTTCTTCTTTGAGGTCTTGGAATTCTTAGGTGCATGGTTTCTAAATTTGACGTTCATTCTTTCCTGCAAAAACTTGACAGCTTTCATTATGCAGGGGTTTTATTGTTGGTTTGCCTGTGCCACACCTCTAGAGAAATGAAACCTTTTGTTCGAAAAGCATAATTAATCAGCACATGACCATGGCTTCCCGTCAGTGTTGTGGATGGTTGAGTTGAACTGGTCGCCTGATAGACTTTAGAGCTACCATTTGTTTGGCCTTTCACAATATTCAATAATTAGAGGAGATTCACTATAGTGATTAGTTTGTAGCCCCAGTTTTCATGTTGAAAAGCAAAACAGTATCTTTTTTTTTTTTTTTTGTATTTGATGACGTTACTATCATCAGCAACTGTTATAGTTGTGTTATATCCCCAGTTTTTTCTGCACTCAAAGTTTTGAATGTCCATTAGGCATTTATTTATTCGGAGAGATGTTTTATGTTTGCTTAAAGAACTGTAACTCGTGCTTCAGAACAATTTTATTATTTTGTGTTTTAAAAGCAATGCTTGTTCCTGTGGTTACTGTTTGTTTATGGATCGATCTATTTTAGAATTGCAAGATAATACCCCTCACCCCGGCCATATGTCCTCTTCGTGCAAGGAAACCAGAATGGATTCAGAGCTGTGATCAGATCCAAGGGAAGGTGTTGCCATTGCAATTTTATAATTCGTCCCAAGTGTAAATCAAGTGGACAGTTATGAAATTTGCTTCCAGCTTCAGAAGAGGCTGATCATCGTACTCAGAACAGGAGTTTTTTACTTCCGGAGAAGCTCAAGAAATTGTGAAGTTATGTGCTTCTGAAGATGTTTTTCAAAGGTAATGAGCAGAACCGCACGTGCCGTTTTTTTTTTTTGATTTGTTTTATAAACCAATGATATCATTAAAGCACCAGTGTTAGAAAAACCACCTTTGTGAGAGAGATTAAACTAAAGTTAGAAAAGCAATTTGGCGAGAGAAAAAAAATCCTTTTAGGTAGATGTCTAGTTTATTTGATTATTTTTTCAAGGAATTTGAGGCTGTCATTTGGTTTTTTTTTTCTTTTGTTGCTTTTTCCCACCTACCTTTTCATGGTTGATTTTTTTTAATGGTATTTGTCCGGTCTATTTGATTTTTTTTTTCTTATTGTTTTTTCCTTTGCCTACCTTTTCATGGGTCTTTGCGATGCAATGAAGGTTTTACATCGATTGTTAATGAATCAATTTTTAGATATTTTATTTTTAAAAAATGAGTGTCAAGAAAAAGATTAAAATAGTAGAATTAATGGTGAATTGCCCAAAAATATTGTTTCTTTGCCAATCAAGTTCTAATTTAGATCTTAGATGTTAAGAAAATCTTCGATATATGTTTTTTACGCATTCTTAATATGTCATGGAAACCTATTTCATTATTTACATTCAGAAAATCCTCTTATATATTGGTCAATTTCAATTTTAGATATACAAGACTTTCTAGTTTTCAGCTCAATAAAATTAATATATCTAATAAAGAAATTGAAAAGATGTTAGAAAATTTAAGAAATAAATATATTTTCTAATTTTTATGAAGAAATGGGATAGACAAATTGAAGTTGGAAAATGAAAAATGTTTTTCGATAATGAATAAATCCTAACCATTTCTTAGCAAGCACGCTGTAGTTTTTTCTTTTTTTCATTTTTTTTAATCAATTGACATTTTCTCTTACCATTCAAGATTGGGAAAATATCAAATACATCCTCAAAATATTAGAGTGATGTTAATCTTGCGTCCGAACTATTTTTTAATTAAATTTACTTTCGAACTATTTTAATTTCTTAACCATAACTTTCAATAGAATTTCTTGATGAAAACAGTTAAATTATCTATAAAATGATATCTTTTTAACAAAATAAAAGTATAATTTTGATGGAAATATGGATCTGATGTTTTAAAGATGGATAAACGTCCTGGCCCAAGATAGGAATTCTTTTCCAACGGTGTCAGGTCTTCTGATGAATGAAAATTTTTAAAAACTCGGGAGTAAAATTAATATAAAAATTATTCGATGGGAAGACGGAGGTGTTCTTTAGATTTTTAGCCTGACAAAAGAGGAAAAAGGTAGTAGTGTGGCTGCTGGGATTCGAGCCCAGGTCTCCACGGCCACAACGTGGAATTCTTACCACTAAACTACAGCCACGTGATGCTATCTAGATCAAAATTATATATTAATATTACTTATTAATTTAATTTCCTTCCCT